CACAAACTCATTGTTTTTGATGGCTGCATAGTATTCCATGGTGTATATGTGCCACATTTTCCCTATCCAGTCTATGGTCGATGGGCATTTGGGTTGGTTCCAGGTCTTTGCTATTGTAAACAGTGCTGCAATGAACATTCGTGTGCACGTGTCCTTATAGTAGAACGATTTGTAATCCTTTGGATATATACCCAGTAATGGGATTGCTGGGTCAAATGGAATTTCTATTTCTAGGTCTTGAGGAATCGCCACACTGTCTTCCACAATGGTTGAACTAATTTACACTCCTACCAACAGTGTAAAAGTGTTCCTATTTCTCCACATCCTCTCCAGCATCTGTTGTCTCCAGATTTTTTAATGATTGCCATTCTAACTGGTGTGAGATGGTATCTCAATGTAGTTTTGATTTGCATTTCTCTGATGACCAGTGATGATGAGCATTTTTTCATATGTTTGTTGGCCTCATGTATGTCTTCTTTTGTAAAGTGTCTGTTCATATCCTTTGCCCACTTTTGAATGGGCTTGTTAGTTTTTTTCTTGTAAATCTGTTTTAGTTCTTTGTAAATTCTGGATATCAGCCCTTTGTCAGATGAGTAAACTGCAAAAATTTTTTCCCATTCTGTTGGTTGCCGATTTGCTCTAATGACTGTTTCTTTTGCTGTGAGGAAGCTGTGGAGTTTGATTAGGTCCCATATGTCTATTTTGGCTTTTGTTGCCAATGCTTTTGGTGTTTTGGTCATGAAGTCCTTGCCTACACCTATGTCCTGAATGGTTTTGCCTAGATTTTCTTCTAGGGTTTTTATGGTGTTAGGTCTTACGTTTAAGTCTTTAATCCATCTGGAGTTAATTTTAGTGTAAGGTGTCAGGAAGGGGTCCAGTTTCTGCTTTCTGCACATGGCTAGCCAGCTTTCCCAACACCATTTATTGAACAGGGAATCCTTTCCCCATTGCTTGTTTTTGTTAGGTTTGTCAAAGATCAGATGGTTGTAGATATGTTGTGTTGCCTCTGAGACCTCTGTTCTGTTCCATTGGTCTATATCTCTGTTTTGGTACCAGTACCATGCTGTTTTGATTACTGTAGCCTTGTAGTATAGTTTGAAGTCCGGTTGTGTGATGCCTCCCGCTTTGTTCTTTTTGCTTAGAATTGACTTGGCTATGCGGGCTCTCTTTTGGTTCCATATGAAGTTTAAGGTGGTTTTTTCCAGTTCTGCGAAGAAGGTCATTGGTAGCTTGATGGGGCTAGCATTGAATCTGTAAATTACTTTGGGCAGTATGGCCATTTTCACGATATTGATTCTTCCTAACCATGAACATGGAATGTTTCTCCATCTGTTTGTGTCCTCTTTTATTTCGTTGAGCAGTGGCTTGTAGTTCTCCTTGAAGAGGTTCTTTACATTCCTTGTAAGTTGTATTCCTAGGTATTTTATTCTCTTTGTGGCAATTGTGAACGGAAGTTTGTTCTTGATTTGGCTCTCTTTAAGTCTGTTATTGGTGTACAGGAATGCTTGTGATTTTTGCACATTGATTTTGTATCCTGAGACGTTGCTGAAGTTGCTTATCAGTTTCAGGAGATTTTGGGCTGAGACGATGGGGTCTTCTAGATATAAAATCATGTCGTCTGCAAATAGAGACAATTTGACTTCCTCCTTTCCTGTTTGAATGCCCTTTATTTCTTTTTCTTGCCTGATTGCTCTGGCTAGAACTTCTAGTACTATATTGAATAGGAGTGGTGAGAGAGGGCATCCTTGTCTGGTGCCACATTTCAAGGGGAATGCTTCCAGTTTTTGCCCATTCAGTATGATATTGGCTGTTGGTTTGTCATAAATAGCTTTTATTATTTTGAGATATGTTCCATCAATACTTAGCTTATTGAGGGTTTTTAGCATAAAGGGCTGTTGAATTTTGTCAAAGACCTTCTCTGCATCAATTGAGATAATCATGGGTTTTTTGTCTTTGGTTCTGTTTATGTGGTGAATTACGTTTATAGACTTGCGTATGTTGAACCAGCCTTGCATCCCCAGGATGAAGCCTACTTGATCATGGTGGATAAGCTTTTTGATGTGCTGTTGCAATCGGCTTGTCAGTATTTTATTGAAGATTTTTGCTCTATATTCATCATGGATATTGGCCTGAAGTTTTCTTTTCTTGTTGAGTCTCTGCCGGGTTTTGGAATCAGGATGCTGTTGGTCTGATTTCTTTCTTTTCTTTTTTTTTGAGACGGAGTTTCATGTGTTACCCAGGCTGGAGTAAAATAGTGTGATCTCTGCTCACTGCAGCCTCCACCTCCTGGGTTCAAGTGATTATCTTGCCATAGCCTCCCAAGTAGCTGAAACTACAGTTCTGTACCACCGTGCCCAGCTAATTTTTGTATTTTTAGTAGAAATGGGGTTTTTCCATGTTGGGCTGGTCTTGAACTCTGGATCTCAGGTGATCTGTCCACCTTGGCCTCTCAAAGTGCTGGGATTATAGGTGTGAGCCACCACGCCCAGGCTTATTTTTGATTCCTAATTTTATTCCATTGTGGTCAGAGGACATTATATGATCCTTTAAAATCTATTAAGGCTTTAACAAAGTCTCATGTCTTTTTTGATTTTTTTTTCTTTTTAAGAAAATTATTTTATTTATTATTATTCTTTTCTGAGACAAAGTCTTGCTGTGTCACCCAGGCTGTAGTGCAATGGGATGATCATAGCTCATTGTAGCCTCAAACTCCTGGGCTTGAGCAATCCTTCCACCTCAGCCTCCCACAGTGACGGGATTACAGGTGTGGGATGCCATGCCTGCATCCATTGTTTTTGACCACACCCTTAGGCATGGACTTCTGCTCTGTTCCAAATGTAGTCAGTTCCTTCTGCAAGAGCTGTGGAAATATCTGTCTCTCCGTACAGCCTGCCTCTTCCCCTGGGCAGGTCCTGGCCCTGTATTGGACTTGGGGTTAGGGCAATGGCCTGCTTCTGCAGAATGACATCCCTGCCCCACAAGCAGGCACCCATGAGAGGGACTGTAGTTCCTAGTCTTGGCTTGCTGTTCCCAGTGTGGAACAGTGAGCTGGGGTGGGGTGGTTGGGGCCCATTACTCTTGGCCTGCCATGCCTGGGGCAGAGCCTCCATCTTAGAAGTGGGGACTGGGAGGGGCAGGGAGCCTCAGTCCTCTAGCCTCATCTGCCCAGAATGAAGAGACCTCCTGCAACATGGAGCTGGGATGGACATGTCTGCCATTCCAGGGTGAAACTGTAGCCCAGGACTGGGAGCTGGGGTAGAGAGAACCCCCACTTGTGATTGCACCCACTGGAGTACAGACTCTACAGCCAGAACCGGGGGGTGGAGTGAGAGCAGGTTGCAGCTAAAATATCACAGATTCTCACTATTTTTCCTGAGATGTAATAGATTTTCTTGAATAATCTTCATTGGATGCGTGCCTTTAGGATGAGTTCCTTATACCACCATCTCAGAAGGCTAGACCGCCTTGTTGGGTTTCTTTTCTTCTCTCCTCCCCTCCTCTCTTCTCTTCTTTCTTTTCTTTTGACTGAGTCTTGCTCTGTCACCCAGGCTAGAGTACAGTGGCATCATCTTGGCTCACTGCAACCTCCCCTTCCTGAGTTCAAGTGATTCTCATGTCTCAGCCTCCTTGGCAGACACAGAGGAAGGCAGCTCTGCTTCTTGCAGCAGGTGATCTGGGCCATGCCCCTTACCAGGTGAATGCCTCCTCCCTGCCCGCAGTGGACACCTGCAGCTCGGGCTGATCTACACCACGTGGCTTCTTATCCGCACTCACTCCTTGCAGCCTTACGCTACTCACTCTTGCCACTCTCCTGTCCCCCAGTAGCTCCATTGTGGCCTTGGCGTCACTCACGGGGTGGTCTGCACAGTCACTTCCTCAGCTGTGGTCCAGGCATCCTGCTGCAGTGGGGGTGGGCTGAGCATGCCAGTTCTCTTAACCCTTATCCGCTTCTTCATGGGATCTCCTCTAACCCAGCTTCAGCTGCCAGAACACAGATGACAAGGCTGCGTACACACGTGCGCATGCATGCATACACACACACACTAAGACGTAGATGGCAGGGCTGTGTACCTACACACATGCACACGCACCAAGACACAGGTAGCGGGGCTGTGCGTGCGCGTGCGTACTCACACACACACACACCCAGGACGCATATGCCTGGGCTCTCTCTTGAGTATCTGATGAGTTGATGAGTGCCAAAGCAGAGGTCAGCTGAGGGAAGTTTAGGAGCAGGGAGGTCCTGTGATGTGGAAATAAGATGACCGTGGAGACAGGTCCTGAAGGACAGGGCGCACTTCTCCGTGGGAGGGAGGATGTACCCCATGGGGAAATGTGTGGAGCGAAGGCGTGAGGTGGAAGAGGAGGGGATGGGATATGTCAGTGGGCAGAGGTTGGAAGGGCAGTGGGGAAATCCTGGGACAAGCAGCTTGTGTCAGACCCCGAGAAGGTCCAAAGGACTCATTCCCATTGCTGGGAAAGTGAGTCCCTGCAGTGGCCTCAGTCCCCGGTTTCCCAGAATCAGAGGGGTCTTTGAGAGGGCCGGGTGGTCCTTACTGGCCCAGAGCCCTCTCTGCCACCCCTGCAGGCATTGGGATGGTCCCCAGGTCTTAGAGTCCTCAGGATGCTCCCAGGCCCCGGGACTCCTAAGCTGGAGCTGGAGCCTCTTTTCCAGTCCTGATCTGCCCGGGACCCTCTCACCACTCCCCCAAGGAGTCTGGCCCAGGGTATCACTGCCTACTCCCTCCCTGTGGCACTGCCTGTGAGGCAGTGAAGTGAAAAGGTGGACTTGTCCTGTCTTGGGGACAGGTCCCTGTGCGGGAGCCTCCTTTCTGCACTGACAGGTCAGGGCGGAGGGTGGAGGATTCTGCTGGAAAGGTCTCAGGCTTGCAAATGGAGCCTTGCTAGTGAGTCCTCAGGTAACGGCCCCTCGGGCCTCCCGTGTCCTGGCATCCCCAGTGTGAACCACAGTGGGATTCTCACGGCTGTCCCCTTTCCAGGTGGGTGTCCCAGAGCGGGCGGCTGCAACGAGACAGGCATGTTGGAGAGGCTGCCCCTGTGTGGGAAGGCTTTCGCAGACATGATGGGCAAGGTGGACGTCTGGAAGTGGTGCAACCTCTCCGAGTTCATCGTGTGAGTGCCACTGCTGGGCGTGGGATCTGCTTTGCCCATGGCGCTGCCCACTGCCTGACCACTGCCCGACCATGGCCTGACCACACTCTACCCAAGGCCTCGCCCATGCCCCACCCATACCCCACCATAGGCTGCCCACAGCCCTTCCATGCACTGCCCCACACTTTGCCCAGGGCTTCCCATCACCCTCCGACACTCTGTCCCTGTTTCCGGCCACCCCACCCACATCCTGCTAGCACCTCACTCACGGCCCCGCCCAGGCCTTGCCCCAACCCGTGGCATTTGTGCCCCCACACCCACAGCACCTTCCCAGCTTCCTATCCCCCATTCTGAATCCTCACTCTTTGATGTTCTAGCAGTTCCATGCTGCCTCTGCTTCTCCCTCTCCTCTGTTATTTGGGAATCCTCCCCATGCCCACTTTTCCTCCTGAAACATATTAGTGCCCTGCCCTGGGAGTGTCCAGTTTGGGGGTTCCCTGGTCTGGGGGTGCCCTTCCTGGGGGATGCTCTGCTTGGAGGGTGCCCCCTCTGGGAAGTGTCCAGTTTGGGGGTGCCCTGGCCTAGGGGGTGGACTGTCCTGGAGCGGGTGCTGCTCTAGCCTAGGGGGTGCCCTGGCCTGGGGGATGCCTTGCCTGGAGGGTGTCCTGCCTCTCCTTAAAGCTGGAGTTGGGTGGACATTGTCATGTGTGTCTTTCTCACAGCACCAGTCACAGCTGGGTCTGTCCTCAGTGGTCAGAGGACTTGGAGGAATTGGGTCCCACTGACTTATACCAGGTTCAATTGTGGACAACACCACATAGTGAAGGGAGGGCCCCTTGTTCTAGAAACTTCCCAAGTTTTTTACCTGCTTACCTCCTTGGAAATGGCTCTCGGCCTCGCCGCCCTCTGGCCCACGGTACTCCACCTCTGGCTTTGCAGTCTTGTGCCCCCTGCCGGTGGCTGCTGGCAGACCCAAGCTGTGCTGGCCTGTTAGCCGGCACATGCGTGTTAGCACCCCAGCCCCTGCCCTCTGTAGACACTGACCATGGCCATGCCCTGGAAACCCTCCCTGGCCCTGGCCATTCTGGTGGCCCAGAAGAAGCTGGCTCCTTGAGACTGCTACACCTGCAGCCCCACCGCGTGAGGGAACTGCTCGCTGAACCAAGTGGAATGGAATGCTGAGTCTGCTGGGAAGGGGTGCTGGGATTCAGGAAGGGATTGGTAGGCTCTCTCTGATCTCAGTGAGCCTGGACACAGGCCTGGAGTGGACCCACGGGTGGGGATGGCGTCAGGGAGGAGGAGGTCATAGCTTCATGGCTTCTGGTCTCGCTCCTCTCTGTAACCTGCTAAAGCCTCAGTAAAGAGACTAAATAGGGACATCCAGCCCTGGATCGGGAGGACAGGAACGGAGGCAACCCGAGGGGCATTTAGGAGTCAGCGAATGAGTGGACAAGAGCCACTGACTGAGTGTCCTTGGTCAAGTCAGACCTGATGCTGGAAAGGGGGAGCTGGGAACAGCCAGGTTGACACTGCGGAGGCCTCCCGAGACCTGGCCAGCAGCACGAGCTCCCGAGAGTGGCAAGAATGGCTGAGAAGCAGTGAGGTGTCCAGAGCCCTCCTCCACCCCAGCTGGACACTGGAGGCATATTCTTGGAGCTGGTGACACCAGGGTCTCAGGCCTCCCCAAGTAATTGAGAAGGTGGTCACGGTGTCTCAGAGAGGGAGGCTGGAGAAAGCGGCTGACATGCACTGCCTTTTGCCACTGGGTCCAGGAGGGTGGTCGCGGGCAGGATTGGAGCTGTCCTTTCTGGAGAGTGAGACCAGACAAGAGGAATGACCTAGAAGCAGTGATCCTCCCACCCAGCCCCCGGAAGCTCTGGGGACAAGCCCCTCTGCCGGGTCCCAGTGTCTCTTCAGCTCTCAGTCCCCACTCCCAGTCATGAGTGTCCAAGCAGAGTCCCTGGATATCTGATCTAAGGCTCTGAGCCTGAAGGACAGAGACCAGAGAGATGAAACCAAGCAACCGTGGGGGCCATGAACCAAGAAGAAAACTTCACACGTCACTACCGGTATCTTCAGAGGGCAAGCAACTATCTCTCATGTGATGAATGAGAAAGAGAAAGAGCCTTAGAAATGGAAGACGAAATAAAAGTGAAATGGAATAGAAAGATTAGAAGAGAGATGGTGAGAAAATCTCCCAGGAATGGGGGGGCGGAGAGAGAGAGAGAGAGAGAGAGAGAGAGAGAGAGAGAGAGAGAGAGAGAAGATGATTAGGAGGTCAGAGGTCAGTCTAGGCATAACACCAAGATAGTAGGAATTCTAGAAAGAGAACAGGAGAATAAAGGGTTACAGGCCCCTTGCCAGGAGCAAGGGAGGAGCGAGGGCTTGCCCAGTGCTGGCACGAGGGAGGAAAATGTCCCACATGAGTATCTGATCTAAGGCTCTGAGCCTGAAAGACAGAGACCAGAGAGATGGAACCAAGAATCCCTGGGGGCCATGCACCAAGAAGAAAACTGCAAATGTCACTACCAGTATCTTCAGAGGGCAAACAACTATCAGAGCTGGGGAAACAAAGGAAAACTTCTGTACTTATCCAGAGGGAGGAAAAAAAAAAAGAGCTCCACATTGGAGATGAGGGGATCAGAGGCCTGCAGGACCCCCCACGACAGCCCTGGAAACTGAGGACCAGGGGATGCAAGGATTTGAGAATTTCAAAGGACTGTGGTTTCTCAACTAGTGGACTATTTGCCGCCAATCTGTCCACTAAATAGGGAGAAATGGAAACACCGTCAGACGTGTGGCACCTCCAGCATCTGATTCCCATACACCTTTCTCAAGCTCTGGCGGCTGTGCGCCAAGGTATGGAGCAAACCACGACGAAGGAAGCTGTGAGATTTGGGGAGCAGAGCCAAGGCAGGAGAGGGGAGCCCCAGCATGGCAGCATGCACCAAGTGGAGGAGGCCTGGCCCACGTGGAGGGCACCTGATGCTTATCTGACAAGATGACTACCTGCCCATGCCCTGCAGCCCAGCTCTGTTGAGAATGAAGGACACCCCTCTCTTTCCCCTGAATGTTTGTTCTGCTTTGGTCCCCGCTGAAGCAGGGTGGGTCTTGGTGAGTTTAAAGGAGAGGTGGCTTGTTCCCTTCAATAGGACTGGTTCACATAATGGCCCCATCAGGAGTCGTGGCTGGGAAGACCCTATTCCCCAAACTCTCCCGTGGCCTGCCTGTGGCTTTCCCTGGGGAGGGGTCTCATTGTCCCTTGGGGGCAACCAAAGCGTGTCTTCTTCTGGGAACCTCCCTCCAACAGCAGCGGTGGGCTCCTTCTGTGCCCAGTTAAGGAGCATTGCTATGGGATTTCCAAATGCAGCATGTATTGCCTGAGAACACACTCTCAGGTGGTGAAATGTAAAGCAAGGTGGGCAAAGACCCCAGAAGTGGGTGGGGGGAGAGGGAGTCTGACTGGGGGTTTGCCCCGCTTCCAGCCTGCTGGGCCCCTCTCCTTCCCATCCTGGGCTGTGGGTGCATCTTCTTTAGGGAAGGTGCTCTGGGGAGCAGGACTGAAGGGGGAACGAGGAGGCCCCAGATTATCCAGGGGATGAATAAATCATAATTTGTTCCTGGTTTTCTAGAGAAACACTGAGTGTGGGCATTTTTGCAGGTGACAAAAATGGAGATTTTGTGGATCCACAAAGATGGGTGCTGTGCTCAGCTCTGCCCCAAAACTAACAGCTGGGGTGGGCTCACCCCAAGACCTGCTCTGTGCCAGGCACTTGCTGGGGCACATAGACCTCAACTCATTTGGTTCTCTCAAAAACCTGATTGGCTGTTACTACCCACTTACAGATGAGGAAACTGTGGCCCAGGGAGGATAAATGACCTGGCCCACATCACAGAGATGGTGGGTGGCTGAGCTGGAGCTGGAGAGTCCCTGTGACATTGGCTCTGCATCCTGCGCCTGAAGCCACTGTCCATGCTGCCGTCTGGGATTACCCCTGCCCCGTGGGTTTCTCCATGTGGCCCAGCTCTGGCTGTGAGTGGGGTTTGGGAACAGCAGGGGCTTTCAGCCCTGTCTTACTCCTCTTGGGACAGTTCTGGGGCTGCACATCACTCCTCTTGCCATGTAGGCTCGCTGTCCACAGACGGTCTTCTCCAGGGTCTGTCTGGCTTGTTTCAGCCTTGGAGATGGTTGTTGGGGGTGTTGTTGGAGATGGCATTCCTGGGTAGCAGTTCAGTGGAATGACTTTGGAGGCACAGAGGTCACCGCACGTGACTCTCATCACACACATAGATGCTGGGAAATTCTGAAGGTGAAGGCTGTTGCAGGGTGTTGTTAGATGGCTCCCCAGCTCCCGGATCAGCTGGCGGGGGGTGGGGTTGGCAGCAACCACTGAATCTGGGGCCCTGTGGGAGAAGCAGGTCAGGGGAGTGAGGTCCATGGATCTAGCTGTTGAGGTGCCTCTAAAGCCTGGGCATGTCCCAGGGGCTGCATCTGACTGAGGCCCAGGAGAGCCAACAGCTCTGTAGCTGGATTTGAGGCTGTTCCTTTTGCTCTGGCCATTCTCTGCTGGCACTACCTGGAAAGGCACAGGTGTATGTCTGACCTGCATTCCAGAGTTGGTGTTGAGAGCCAGCCTTGGATCAGTCAGGAGCTGGGCCAGTCAGGAGCTGGCTCCCCAGACCCTGTCCGGGGCATGGGGCAGGAAGACCAGGAGAACCCTGGGTGGAGTGGGTCAGAAGTCCCTGTTCCCCACCCTTCCTGATGCTTTGGGACATCTAGGCCCAGATGATGTTCCATGCAGGAAGCAGCTCTTTCCTGTTGATGGGCCAGATCAGTGGCTCCCTCCTGGGACAGCACAGGAAGGATGAGATGAGCTGCTTTCCCATGGGGGAGCCAGGGCAGGACCCCTCAACCTCCTGCATCTGTCCTCATGCAGCACAGACATGGGGAAATGCTGGCCCTGGACAGAGCGGGTGGCATCTGGGTGGGAGTCCATCCAGATTAGTCTAGAACATTCTGGATGAGTGGCTGCCACTCTAGGCCTTGCAAACTCCAATGACAGGGAGGTTATCACCTCCACAGGCTGCCCGTTGGACCATGTGGTGGTTGGGAAGTCCTTGATGCTGAGTTAACCTCTGGGTCCTGGTGGCTGTAGCCCTTGGTCAGCATGAGGACTGACCAGAGCCGGTGCTGGGCAAACATGGAGCATCATGGTGGTTTGCTGAATGCCCTTCCCATCTTTGATCTCATGGACAGGGGATCCACAGGAGGGGGCTCCACGTGTCCTGCTAGATGGGGCCGAAGGGGGCAACTTCTGAGCAGCAGAAGGGACGGGGGCTCATAGGTCTGACTTCCACTTTTCCACCACTGGCACATGAGGGCAGGCTGACTTGTGGGAGGTGGCTGGCCCCTGGCCTCTGAGAGCCCCTTCTCCTCTTGTCCAGGCTCCAGTTCTGTGGACCTGCGTCTCGGGCCTTTAGGGTATCCTGGATGATGAAGGCCTTGCAGGTCCAAGAGGCTGTTATCCAGGCACCCTTTGGCCCTCTGGGCAGCCCTGGGTAGTGCTGGGAGGTCTGGGAGAGCTGGGCAGAGACCCTGGATCCTGGGAGCTCATGGCTTCAAAGGCAGCAAGTCATGGCCAGCGTGATGCAAATGTGGGCAGGGGACACAGGGAGTGAGTGGGTCATGGGCATAGATGACCCTGTGGCCAGGACAGGGCTTTTTCAAGGCTGGGCTGTGAGTAGGTGGCCAAGTGGGTTGGAACCCAAACCACCCCACCCATCTTCCTGGTCTCAGGGTCAGGGCAGGTGTGAGAGGCAATGGTGAGAGCCTGACTGTCACTCCCTCTGCTTTTGCAGGTACTATGAGAGTTTCACCAACTGCACTGAGATGGAGGCCAACATCGTGGGCTGCTACTGGCCCAACCCCCTGGCCCAGGGCTTTATCACCAGCATCCACAGGCAGTTCTTCTCCAACTGCACCATGGACAACGTCCGCTTGGAGGACCCCCCAGACGAGATTCTCATCCCACTGATTATTATCCCTGTCGTTCTGACTGTCGCCATGGCCGGCCTGGTGGTGTGGCGCAGCAAACGCACCGACACGCTGCTGTGAGGGTCCGGGTGAGACCGAGGGGTCACACCTGGCAGGCTGGAAGAAAGCTCCCTGGGATGGGAGAGCGGCTGGATGCCACCAATGCCCAGCCACTGTGGCCACACCCCACCCAGTCGTGGGCAGACCCCTCCCTTCCTGGGCTGACCTGCTCCCTCAAGGCCAGCCTGCTTCCTGGCTGGGGCTCAGGCTGCCTGCCCAAGCTCTTTGCTTGTTCTAGGGCCAGTGAAGGAAAATATAAGGCCAGAGCTTGTATGCTGGGCACAGAAACCGCCTGCTACATCCTGTGTTCCGCAGGCTGGGCAGGAGCCTCTGCCTGGAGCTTTCTATGCCATTTCTTAGCATAGAATCCAGCCTAGCTTTAGCCCCAGTCTGGGCCCTGCTTAGACTAGGTCTCCTGGCTTGACCCCATCTCTGGCTCCTGCCTTGGCTCCTGACCCAGCCCCAGCCCCAGCCCCTGCCTACACCTAGGTAGAAAGACAGGCAGGGGCTCTTAGAAGACGTTCTGTGCTGTGAACTCCTAGCCCTCCTGGTGAGCAGACAACTGGAAAGGCCGGGAGGAGGAGGGACGGGCCGGGGGTTCCCCGGAGCCACACGTGGCCTGCACAGTCTGTTCCATCATGATGCTGTGCCCACTATGGGCTGTGTGCATGACCACAGGCTGGAGTGAGGGTGGGTCCAAGTCCCTTACCGGGGCTTGTTGTGTGGATGGTGCCTGGGCCTTTTTGCTACAGGGGCTCCTTTGTGGGTGAGGGGCCATTTGGAATGGCATCCCATGAGCTTGTGGCCTCTATCTGCTGCCCTCTGTGTGTTATCTGAGTAAAGTCACCTTACTTCTGGAATTTCCTGTTTTATTTCATGTTATTCAGAGAGATGGTGGGTCTCTTGGGACTGATGAGTCCCCTGTATATATTGTACAGATAGGGAACAACTGAGGTCCTGGAATCCCAGAATGTCGCGCTCCGGGGGCTCAGAGAGTGTTCCAATAAGAGAGGGCCTGGCCGCAGGAGGGACTTGCCTAGCTGCTCGCAGCCCCCTGTGCACTTCCCACCCTTGACCTTGCAATTTGAGGATGAAGGGGAAGATTTCTCTCACCTCCATTTTCCCTTTGGGGCTGCCTTGGGCTTGCTAGGACCCTTGCCTGGGTTTTCTGGGGACCGAGAGGCCCTGGCCAGGTCTGGCTGGGGGCAGATGCTGGCCCTGCAGGTCCCTAAAGCTTGTGGAGGGGCTTCATCTCCAGGCCTCTGGCCAGGCTCTTGTCCAGGCTCCAGTTCTGTGGACCTGCATCTTTTGCGTGTGGGCTGTTGGATCCAGCGTCTTCTTGCTGTGAGTGGAGGCAGGCACCGCCCTGGTAGTTCCTCTGCCTTTAGAGGCCAAGCTCCGCCTCGATGCCCAGGTAGGCAGGTTCTGGCACTGGGGACCTGCATGGTGGATGCCACTGGACTGGACTGGAGGTCTAGGTGGGTGGCCTGAGCCTGCCGCTACGTGGGGCACAGTGTAGGGGATAGAATCTGAGTCTATTCCACGTTGCTAGGGCAGCATCGGCTAGGCGTGAAAGGTCGTAATCCCCACCACCCAAGCCTTGGCCAGCCATCTCTGAGATGGGACACCATTTGCCCGACGAGATGCCCGTGTGGAGCCAGGGAGGTCAGTGTGCCTTCAGGTGTCAGGCTATCTGGCCTGCACATGATCAGACGTTTGAGGTGGTGCCTCTGTGTTCAATGGGTCTTGGGGCGCCAGGCTGCTGTGGTAGGGGTGCAGCCCCGTCCCTTTGCTTGGGTTAGGCCCTCCTGGTTGTGCATCCCTGAAGCAAAGCTTGAAATATGCTGATGGAACCCCCCCAACAAGGGGCCAGGACACCTGTAGCCACCTCCTGGATCCCCTGGAAACCAAAACTCTGGAAGCTGCTCCAAGTAGGGAGTGAGCCTGGAGTCATGCTCTGCCTCCTCCCAAGTCTTCTGATCTGCTACCAGGCACCATCTTCTCATCTGTTACCTTCTCCCTGGGGATAGGGGTCCTGGGGGCCCAGTGAGATTCCCACGAGGATTTGGATTCCTGGGGATGGGGTGAGGGCCAATGAGGGGCATCCTGGAGGCTGGGAGGTCCCAGGGCTCCAGGTGAGGTAAAGCATCACTAAGCTCTTGCTGCGTGCACTCTGGAGACAGCTGGGGTTTTTCTGCGATGCAAACTCCAAACCTGGCAGGAGCTTTGAGCTCCCTCACCAGGGACAGGGCCAGTGGGTGCGGCTACACTGCTGTGTGGGCAGATTGAGGAGCTGGCTAGGGACCCAGGAGGCCTGTCCTCGTCACCCTGGAGAGGCTCACAAGGCAGGAAGGGACATCAACATTTACTCAGCCTTGATCAGGTGAAAGAGAAGTAATTATTCAGGGAGTAAGAGGATATGTACTCATGTTTCCTCTTTCAATCTTTTTTCACATTCTTACTTCTTCATGTGTTTTCTCCAGGGCACCAAGGGCACCAAGGGTCTAGGGTGTCAAGCCCATAAAGGAAATGTGCTTGTGTGGGTGTATGTGTGTGTGTGTGTGTGGGTTGTTGTGTGTGTGTATGTGCGTGTATGTGTGTGTGGTGTGTGTGTGTGTGGGTGTATGTGTGTGGTGTATGTGTGTGCTTGTGTGTGTGTATGTGTGTGTGTGTGTGTGTGGGTGGTTGTGTGTGTGTATGTGTGTGTGTGTATGTGCGTGTGGTGTGTGTGTGTATGTGCGTGTGGTGTGTGTGTATGTGTGTGTGTGCGTGTAGTGTGTGGGTGTATGTGTGTGTGTGTGGTGTGTGTGTATGTGTGTATGTGAGTGTGGTGTATGTGTGTGTGTGTGTGTATGTGTGTGTGTGTATGTATGTGTGTGTGTGGGTGGATGTATGTGTATGTGTGTCTGTGAGAGAGGGTGTGTGTTGGTGTCTGGGTGTATGTGTGTGCATGTGTGTGGTGTGTGTGTGTATATGTGTGTGTGTGTGTGTGTGTGTGAGGATGTGTGTTGGTGTGTACATGTGAGAGTGTGTGTTGCAGGCAGGGATAGCGCGTTTATTCTAGGAGCTTCCTTATCTAAAAATCTCTTACATTTGATCAGTTTACACAATCATTATTAATGTCCCATTTTGCAGATGTGGAAATGTGAGAGGACTTGCTGACGAGTGGTCTTTTCTGTTTTCCCTGCCTGCTGCCCTCTGACTACAGCCCTGAGAGGTGACAACTGCCTTGAAGAGCCCCTCTGGACCCCAGACCTGCGTGGGTTTCCTTTGGCCAGAGCGGGTCCCCTCCTGACCGTGGCAAGTTTCGGGCATGCAGGAGGTTGCCGGGGTCCTCCTGAGCGTTCGGTCTGGTGCAGCCTTGGTACTCGGGTCATCACAGTGGTTGTGGTGGAGTGCAGCCACAGCCCTGCCTCATGGGGGTCGAGGACTCACCCCCGAGTCTGTTCTCTGGGCAAAACCAGCTGTGGTCCACAGGTCCCCCTTTCTGGACACACCGAGAAGACCCCACCTGCTTCACCCCTTGAAGAAGGAGTCAACCCTTAGCCCTGTAAGGCCCCTAATGGCTCAGCTTCAGGCCTGCACTGGCTGTCCTAGGTGATGAGAATTCATGTGGGAATGACTGTTCATAGGAAGCAGCCACCATGAGTATGTGTGTATGTGTATTTGAATGTGTGTATTTGTGTGTATGTGTGAGTATATGTTCATGAGTGTGTGTGTGTATATGTGTGTGTTCACAAGTGTGTGTGTGGCTGTGTGTACAAAGTGTTGGCAACTGCAGCCAGATGCTGGCTGAGCCTGTGCAGATTGTACACGTTTGCCACAGTCCATGTCCTTTGTCACATGGAAACATTACAACTTGTAAGCGAGGAGAGTGAATGCCAGCAACTCATGGGGACTGTTGTGGCTGGGGTGTGTCTTTAATCATTTCAGTCAGCCAAGGCTTTTGCACCACTGCGTTGAGAGCTCTGGGGATCACAGAGACATACTGGGTACAGCCTGACCCCCAAGGGTTCCCTCACTTGTGGGAGAGGCAGCTATGCAAGGCTCAAGTGCAGTATGCACAGTGAGTGAGGCAGCTGAGAGGGAGGTTCCTCCGGGGACTTTGAGGAAGGTTGATGGTTGATGGAGAGGGTTTTTAAGTTGGGTCTTGAAGGGTGAGTAGGAGTTTTCCACTGCAGGTGAAAAGTGTCATGAGCAAAAGCCCAGTGATGTGCAAGAACAGGGCATGGGTGGAGCCCAGGTTGTACGGGTCACAGGTGGGACTGAACATGTGAGCAGGGCCCGATCTGTGGAGGCTGGATGGGATGGTTTGGGATGAAGGTCTCTGCAAATGCAATTGTTTAAGTCACTGATGGCTTCTCTCATGGGGCCTCTGTGTAGCCTGCCCCCTTCAGCCGGTTCTCATTCCAGAACCACTCTGTACTGGGCTCGTGCAAGGCTCTGCGAGACAGCGGGAAGGGAGCTGCAGCTTCTTCTGCCCTGCAGGAGCAGCTCCTCTGCAGGGAAAGGAGAGACTGTCCATGTTTAAAACACAACACGGAACAAGACAGCTGCTGTTTGTGTAGCGGCCTCAGCAGAGGCACTTCTGTGAGCTGTAGAGGGTTGTCAGTGGAAGTGCAAATACTTTTTGGCCACCTCACTCTTGACTACTCAGCAAACTAAACCTGGGAGCACACTGGGTTTGTACTGAGGGCAGCTGTTAGAGGGTAATGACCTTTATCCTTGGCAGAGGACATCCTGTGGGGGTCTATGGGACCTGCTTCTGAGGTGACTGTGGTGGCAGCTGTTGACCTCATTCCCTGGAGGCTGAGCCTATGGGAGCCTCTTGTTAAGGAGCAGGTGACCTTTATTCCCTGAAATTGCCCCATGTGTGGTCAGTGAGCCAGTTCTCATCATCGAGGAATGGACTTGCCAGGGTCTGCAGAAGTCACGTTGCCAAAAGGGGAGGTCTGTTGAACATAGACCTTCGTCTCCGTCAAGCCTGGCAATTACTGATGGCAGCTGGGGCAGTCCAGGGGGATAACAGGCGACGTCGGGGCTGAGCAGCTGCATGGTGAATGGGGTCCTTGAGGACTCTGACTTCCTTCTGAAGAGTGGTTGTGCGGAACTGAGAAGGAAATTGCCTGATCCTGTCTGGCAGGCTTCTGAAGGCCTGAGTACAGCATGCTTTAAAACAGGCTTCGAATCCATGCGGAGACTCTGGCCTGAGGACATGGCCAGTGACGCTCACTCAGGGTGCTCCTGTCCTTACTCACTGGGGGAGGCATTTATTGATGACATAGATTTTGAATTTTTCGATTGGTGGGATTTTATGCACTTTCAAGACCCCAGTGGTTGGAAAGGCTTTAAGAGTCCTTGTTTTTTTTTTTTTTTTTCTGGTATATATAAAGTGAAAAAGTAGAATATAAAGCAATGTAGAGGAACTGCTTCTGAAATGACATGAGAACTTTGTGGACCAAACAGCCATAACTAGTGCAAATCATAAAAAAAAAACCCAGACAACCGTTGAAAGTCTCTGGAAATTGTTTTAAGGCCACATAGCAAATGAAACATTTATTAAAGAAAATGTGTCAAATCTGGATAAGAATAGGAACATTTGTAGCACTGGAGCTGTGACAGGTTCACCAGACCCTCCCCACTCCCTTCCCAGAGTCCCAGAAGACAGGGCTCCCTCTTCCCAGCTCCCAATCAAAGCATCTTGACATGGTACCCCCTAGGAGGGGAGGTTGCCAGCACTGCTCACCCCACAGGTCCATCCAACAGGTCCTTGAGAAGGCAGGGGACTCCTTGTGCACAGCCTCGTCCCTGCCTGCTGAGATCCACGCGCTGGGCAGCTCCTGGCCCTCTCGATGCCTAC